TGTGTGTGTTTAGGTTTGAATGGGTTTTGTTGTGTGTGTTTAGGTTTGAATGGGTTTTGTCTTTTTACTTTTTTTTTTTTGAGTTTGGGGCTTGTTGAGGAATGGTTAAGTGAGAGAGAAAATAGAATTATTTTAAATTGATAAGGGAATAGGGGCAGTACCAGTGAATTTGATATATATATGGTCATGTAGTGCCAAAGGAATATATAGATAAATAAGTAAATCAGTTGGACCTGGTAGTTCATGCCTTTAAAACCCTAGCACTCCTTTAATCTTAGCACTCTGGAGGCAGAGACTGGAAGATTCCTCAATTCAAGGCCAGCCTGGTCTACAATGTGAGTTCCAGGACAGCCATGGCAACATGGGAAGCCCTGTCTTGAAAAAACAAAATTTAATAACTATCTTTTAGGAGGGAAAGGTATTTTTAAATTTTGCAATAAATGCTATTATTTTATAATGAAAAGCGCAATGATGTATTAGCCAAGAATATGTTTTTGAGCTGTTTACTCTGAATCTTGCTTCTATAGCGTGTGACGGCATCGGTACAGGATCATTGATGTCAGCCCAGACTGTGGATTCCAGTAACATTGACAAATTCATAAACTGTACAAAGATCAATGGGAATCTCATCTTCCTTGTCACTGGGATTCACGGGTAAGTATTCAATCTTGTACACTATTGTTCTGGGAAGTGAAGGTGTCTCTTTGCTCCGCATGCTCGCATCGTTGATTCATCTGGACTTAGAAGAGTTTTACCTTAACAGTCTTTCCAGCCAAAGTAGTGGAGAGCCCTCCAGGAGTGCTGGGGGGGTGGGCACTCATCTGCCTTCAGAGTTTGGTCAGTATTTAGGTATGACAATGCAAATTTGTAATTCAGCTTAAATGTGCTTTGAGAGCACTCTCCTAAAACCCACTGTCTCAGCAAGCCCAGGCTTTAGGGAAACACCACTGACACATAAAGTGAGGGGTTCCCTTTGAATTTGCAACACATTAGTTCAAAACAACATACATCCCTTAAAAAAAAAATCTCACATGAACCAACTCCAAGAATCTGACATAAAATTAAGCTGCAATTCTCCTAAGCTGCTTTTAAAAATTCCTGTCTCGAAAAAAAAAAAAAAATTCACTATGATCTTATGTATTCTTCTCTCTCTCTTTCTCTTATATGGGGAAATTAGCACAACTATAAAGTGGGTTTTATTTTGGTAATAAAAATTCTTGCATTATCTGGGGTCCTTCATTACAGAACTGCCTGCTGGCTTTAACTGGGGGAAATAACCAAATTTGTATTCTTTGTGTAATAAAAACGTCAATAGTTGTACTTTGTATTTTATCTATTTGTCTATATTACTACTTAATCTCTAAATATTAGTGCTACAGGCTACAAATAAAGACTATCACTCACATATTTTAATTCAAACTCTTACACTGAACATATATCACATCATTTCTGGAAGCAAAATAGCTTAGCACATTTTGAATAAGTATTTCCAAATAAGAACAGCATGAGCAGTGTGACAAAGTATTTATCTTCATTCAAACAAATTATTATTTATGCTCTTGCACACAATATCTTGATTTAAAAATGTAGTTTTTAATATGGCCCCATGTCATGTTCTGTAAAGGTTTACATGTATCTTGTGTCCAGTTTGTTATTATTAGACAAACCAAAGCTTTTCTTAAAATTAGGATTTCTAACTTCCCACTTTAAAAAACTTGGTAATTCTCAGCCCACATTGACATATGACAGTGATGTGTTAGAGATGAGAATCCCTCACCTTTTTGAGATGGGATCCATTCAGTTAACTTTCACTAAAGTCGCCACATTTTCTCTGATGTCACCTGCATTGTTGACCTAGCATATTTAGCCCATTGGGTGGGAGATTTGGGCCAATATTTACTTCCTTTCTTTATAATTTAATGAGTACATGATATCCAAAAAAAGAACTTGTGTATGGACTAGTTATTACCTTTTAAGACCAAATGTCCCTATGACAAAAAGAACATCTGTTAGTAATACAATCTGAGGATCCAAGAAATAAGATGGAGCTGTAGCATGAATCTTAAAAAGCTCTTATTAATAAGATCAAACCTGAGGCCAGTTATTGGGGTGAATGCTGGTAGATCCGATGCAGAACAAGCCACAGCTATCTCACCTTGCCAATTCCTCAGCTTGTCTTGTTTCCTCTGACTGGAGGCCTCTGAATCCTCAACCAGAATGGGTCTCAGCTGAACTGCTACTCAAAAGCCTGAATGCTTAACCAGCCAAATGCTTAACCAGCCAAATGCTTCTAGTTTCTGGTCCTCACGCCTTATTATCCTTTCTGCTTTCTACCACCACTCCCTGGGATTAAAGCTTGCTTTCTGGGATTAAAGGCGTGGTGAGTCACCATGCCTGGCTGTGTCCTTGAACACATGGATTTCTGCCTCTGGAATACTAAGATTAAAGGCATGTGCTACCACTGCCTATCCTTTATGTTTAATATTGTGGCTACTCTGTCTCTGACCCCAGATAAGTTTATTAGCATGCACAATAGTTGCGGGAACACAATATCACATGGAGCCACCTGATACTCATTACTTCTTTCCATGTGGACAAACATTATTTTTCCTCTTACCATAATAAAATACCCTGATGAAAGCACCTTAAGAGAGGACATGTTTATATTGGTTCACCATTTCCAAGTTCAGCTAACATGGTAAGGAAGTCAGGCACCAGGACCTGGAGGAAGCAGCTCACCTTGTGTGTATGGCTCTCTCTCCTTTGTATTCTACCCAGAACGCCAGCCTCTAACATAGTTCCATGCCCTTTTCAAGTTGGTCTTTCCACCTAAACTGACTCAGTCAAGATAAGTACTCACAGGTATTCCCAAAGGCAACCTAATCCAGATTACCAATCACAGGTGTGCTCAGAGATTTACCTCCTATGAGACTCTAGATCCTCTAACTTTGATGATGTTAGCCATCACAGATAGGATAAAAAAGTAGCAGTTTCAAGCCTTCAGTGGTCAGTGCAATTTGAAAGTATAATCTTATGAATTGACTTACTTTAGAGAAGTCTTTTTTGACATTGTCAGATCTAACATCATCAATTCATATGTATATGTTTATAAAGTATTTGACCTCTTAATAAATTCAAAATAAAATCTGCAGATTATGTGGCCGGTTAAATACATACATTTTAAAAATCATTGTATTTTCTTGTTATAATTAAAACAAGCATATGAAAATATCTAGTGTGATAAATTGGTGTTGCAAGAAAACCCCTCAACTTCTGCTAAACTAAAAATTTAGGTTTATGAGAAATGATATTAGAAATCATTCTGTTGTAAAAAAAAAATACAGAAAAATAAAGGTCACACGAATAGCTGTAGCCTGAAATAGAAAATAACTA